CAAAAAATAGAGCAACCCACCCACTGAAACTTTTAAAATTCTTTGTTGTGTATTTGTGTTCCAAAAAAACCACTGCTCACCTAAAGTGAGAATTGGCTTTGAAAAACGTAATTTGTCTGGCCCAAACAGAAATAAATATATGGAATATAGTGCTGATTTTGGCATTGGAGTTCTGTCCCAACCAAAAACATTAGTCACTCAGAAATTGTCTGATTGCAAAGATGGAACAGGACTTGATAAATACTGGAGATATTTTACCTCTGGAAGACCATAAAGGAAAGGTTTCCTATAAGCCTTTCATTCTTTTTCCTTTGGCCTTTACAAGGCTTTTTTTTTTTTTTTTCTATTTAGTCATGTCTGGAAGCCAGAAGATGTGGAAAGGGGAGGACTGGCATATAAATTCTCTAACCTGTCTCCTAGAAAAAAATATTTGCATTCAAATCTGCATTTTTACCCTCACAACCCTTGGAGCTGTCTCACTGAAAGCTAACTCTTAAAATAATGGCTCATCCTCTTCCCCATAATGGGGGGAAAGGGTGGCAGATAAAGACTCCTAGTTTATCTTCTGAGTGATAAACTGGCTTGTTCCTATACCCCATCCTCATTACTGATGAGCTGAGAGCTGATCACATGATTGGAAGAATACGTAGGTCCATGATATACTAGCTTTTCACAAAATGCCTGTGAGTCACTGCTGGGATGTGGCCATGGAAATAACTCACACAGTCAACAAATATGGCCACAGGGGAGGACATAAGGGAGAGCATATCTGGAGAGAGGTATAAGGTTCAGAAGTGTCACAGTCAGGGAGAAAAGTTAAATTGGCGCAGATTTAGAGTAAGACTGCATCCCATTACGATGGTATGGAAACAAGCCAGGAAACCGGATTAGCAAATGTCTGCACTGAGCAATGAAGAACACTGCACAAAGCCCTGAGCTGCCATGGACTTGATCTGCTCCAGAAGCAGTGTATCACAGTGTGGTGCTGATGGGCTGTATTTATTATCTTAAACTGCATTAAAGTGGATGAGCTGCTTCTGGCCCTGAGCTGGTATTGCTGCAGCACAACAGGTAGACATATCATAGAGTCAGCAGTAGCTCAGGAATGTCTGCACCATATTTCACTGCACTGCATAGGCTTCTATATGAGCTCGGTTTGTGCATTCGGGCAAAATGAAAGCTGACAGGGCATATGATTACTTGCTCTAAATATATCTAGGAGAAGAGAGGAAAGGGGGGACTGACACTAGGGCTGAGAAAAAATATTTAAATTAGGGGATAATGCTGGCATAAAATCAGATAGATATAAACTAGTTACAGATAGGTTTAGGTTGGAAATTAGGAGACAGTTTCAAACCATCAGAGCTGTGAGATTCCAGAAGGCTTTCCAATAAAAGGAAGAGGGCCAAAAAGTCTAATTACTTTCAAAATTAAGTTTAAACATTTGTGAAAGGGCTTTATATGGTGATAGGGGTTATATGATTTGACTGCCTGAGGAAGCTGGATAAGCTTCAGTGACTCATTCTGTTCTTGCTAAATTTATATTCTTAACATTTTCCTACCATTTGACAAGCCACTTGGTCCTTCACAGTAGGTCACTAGTTTCCCCTCATCCTCTTGGACAGCTCAGATCATTGTTATACAACACTAGGACTGGGGCCTTTGACCTCCCCATCAGGAGGGAGTCCCATGTGAAACTGCTCCCAGTCACATGAGCCACATGAGTTCTCTTTGCCTTTGAGTTTCCATGTTAACCATACTCCGAGCTCCTGTTTCTAGTGAAATGATGGAAGACCTTAAGTTCATGCTTCTTTCAAATGTTTGTCTTCTGATGTGAGCAGAACATAAGTTGTTTGTAATGTTGCCCTGATTTGAGCTTTTTCTGCACTCAGTGGTATTGCAGTGCAAAGACCACAGCCAACCACACCACTGCCTCTCTTCCTTGCTTTAGTGAAGGGGTTTGATGTTTGAGACCTCTGTCTTCCCTCACTAGCCACTTGAAGAAAAACTGGAAAAAGAAAAAAAAAAAAACAATGAAAACAAAACAAACAAAAAAGACATCTAGCTTAAAGGATTTTATATCTGTTCAAAAGAAAAAGGTGAGAGTTCGGATCTGGCTGCATAAGAAGTTTCTCTCTTGATTTTTTCACTGAAGATCATGGTACTCAATGGAGTCTTTCTTTGCTTCTTTTAAACACCCAGTTTCAAGAGATATCTTCACATGACAATCTAAGCATCTTTCTAGCCCTCTACTTCACATCAAAAATGTCTGAAAAAGGTTCAGGTTGCACCTTAAGTAGTCCAGAAAAATAGAAATCAGGTAAAACACTATTATATCACAATTCTGCAAGGCCAAATCAGCGGGTATGGAGTGGCAGTGCTGACACTTACTTTCTTCCAGATGCTACTGCTTCTAAGCTGTGTGCTTTAGGAAAAATAATAAATCTCTGCTTACGGCCTCTTGAGTTCTAAATCCTCTCCAGACTGTACATAACTATAACCATAATCACTTGGGCCAAGCAGTATTTCCTTTTCACCATACCAGTGATGCAAGTGTAAATGTTCTGAAGTTCATTGTCTCTTTCTGAAATCAGATTCCCCCCCCCCCATATTTCTTCTAGTAACAAATTAAATTTATCTTTTGATTTACAGCATATCTTCTAGCATCTCTTCCCTCAGTCAGACAAAAAGATAAAATATGTTGGTTTTGTTCTAATAGTTGTAGTACCATTTGATTCTTATTTGATTGCAAAGATGTACCCCTAAATACCATCAAACACTGTAATATCAGGACCAAGTTCACTCTGAGCAACAGCAAGCAATTAAATGTCAGTGAGAAATTAACCTGGTACTCGTGTGGTAAAATAATCTGTTTGTAGGCGAGTTTCCTAGCCAGCGAAGAGGTGGATATTTCCAATATCCTAGTCAAGATATTCAGTGGATGACATGCCTTGTGGAAATGATCATACAAGTAAGGAATCATCATAATTTCTATTAAATAACAGTTGAACATAGTGTTGGGAAATAACTTTACCATCCCAGGTTCTTCAATTATTTTCTCAATCTCTCAGACTTGGCTTTCAATGGACTTGGCTGTCAATGATATAAAACTCATACACTGTATGACTGAATGCAAAAGATTACTTAAAAAATATTTATTTTCTATTTTTTTCTGTTATGTTCCATTACAAAAAGAAGCATAACAAAACCAAAACAGAAGATAGCATTTTATTAGTGGTACATTAATGAGCTTAAACAACTAGGTGACTTATGCTTGTCACAAATACATATTACAAACAGCCACAAAACCATAACTAAAAATGAAATAAATAATTTGAATATTTTTCTTAAATTTTAATAATTATAAAATATATAGCACTTTCTATTACATTTTTTCAGTTATTTTTATCCATAACAAATTAAAACTTATGACACATTTTGCAAATATGCTAAAGGGATAAGAATAATTTAAAAATCAAAGATCCTGGAGGTACGAAATAGTAAATTGATTAATGTTTATTGGTTTATTATGGTATATCCAGATTGTGCATATCCTGCAAAAATAGCCATTTCTTTAACTAATATACATATTTTTCTTTATAGTATTATAAGATTCAGTTTTTAAATGTAAAGCTTCATGGATTTATGCTTCTGTTTTATACTTGTGTCTAATATGTAGCTTTCCTTAATATATACTGAATATCTTCCATTAGTATATACTAATATATACATACACACACACATACACACATACACACTATGTATTATATATTAGTATATACTGAATAATAAAAGAGTTTCTGTAATATATAGTTGGGATCCTTGTGGAGAAAGTTGTTGAAAGTGGAAGTCATGTATACCATGGTGAAAACTGACTAGGTTTTACATTTTTCAATGTATTTTAACACATTATGTAATGTACTGTAATAATATACAGAATCCAAACAAAAATTTATTTTAACTCCAGTATTCTTATACTTTTCTCTATGATTCTAACAGAATATGAACTGCTGTTTCTGCTAAACTTCCTGAAAATGGAGCCAAGCAAGTAGAAATATTCCAGGAAAGCACTAAAATTGCACTTAAGAACTCCCCAGGTGAGGAAAGCACTTAAGCTCAGATATGACTTTATTTGCTTTAACCTGAATGTTAGTCACATATTGAAGCACTCTTACCAGTACACGGATGCCCTTAATCCTTAGTACTATCCTCTGGCTGTTAAGAGGTTTAGAGAGCCTGTCACATAGCCTAGAGCACAGTTTTGCTGTCTATCTGAGCAAAGGGGGTGAGGGGACAGGGAAGTATGCTTGGGACCTCAGAGCAAATATTCAGGAGCCTATTTGTGGTAGACAGGGGGAAATAGGCAGCAGGGAGAGGGCTAACTAGCATGGGGTGGCCTGCTGGCAGTCATTACTGTAATGGTGTAGTGACGGAAAGAAAGTGATGGAGAATAACCTGTCCTGGACATCTACCAGCCTTTGTCAGCTTCACTTTGCTCTTGCTGCAGCATCCCCCTTCAGGCACTAAGCTCTGGCAGGCTACACAGTGGTGCTCAGGTTTCTAGGGTCTTTCAAGAACCCACAGTGCACCAGCAGCAGCCACCGAGGAAACGGCTGGCACTAGAAGCTGGCACCTTCACTGCTTGCATCTCAGAGGGTTTTTTCCTCTGGACTCAAACAGTTGGGCTACATGGTCTGAAAATCCATCAGGACATGGAACTTCTACAGGTGTGATGGCTGTCTAGTTTCATCCTAAAAACCCAGTTCACATGCTTATAGACTACTCTGCGATACGAAGAATAGCACAGTGAGTGGCAGCAGGCAGGAACCTGGCTTCAAAAGCACATTCCTGATAAGATGAAAATGCTAACGTAAAAGCACCATTAGCTCCTTAGAGAGAGACACATGCATGCACCCTCAGAGATCCTAAGCTACATTTTTGCCTTGCACTTCCCTTTTGAGAGCCTCAAGTCCTGCCTTAGGCATCTAAGACAGGTACTCAAATTTCAGGAGCTTCTGTGAGTCTCTTATGCTCCCCATCACGCAGAACCGGTGAGTCCAAGGTATGGACTCATAATTGCCTGAGGTTGAACACTTTAAAATCAGCTTAAACTTTTTTCAGACACTACACTTTTTCAGAGACCAGAGACTGTAAGAAAATGGAAAGTGCAATGAAAGGATTACTGTTTAATATTAATAAAATTACATTTTCCAAAAGGGTCCCTGGTATTTATTTACCAAGTAGAATAAAAACTGGTCTTTCTTTTTGGCATAGGGAATATTTGAGGGTACTGGAACCATATGTAGCAAAGCTGCTGAATTTCTAAGGGCAGAAACTGTACATTCACAAGATCTTTAGCCTTTTTAACATTTTGTTTGGTGTAAGAAACATCTTAAGGCAGTGAATAAACAAAATCACATTTAACGTAACAGGCTGCAGTATTGACAATTACCAACTTGTGTTTAACTGTCCACTTTGAACTATTCTGATAAAGTCTATAAGCACAAAGTAAATAAATATATTTTTGTGGAATCAAGGACTCATTTGGAAAATAACATTTCTCATCATTGTCATCTCAAAACACATTGGTACTATATACTATTGGTTTACATTCTTATGAATTCTACTTTGAATAGACAAAACTTCAAATTATTGGTTTTAAAAAATAACCCACTTCTTACAACTAGTTTGTCTCCACAGACTTCTTGTTGCACTTAACAAAATAAAATTGCCAACATCTAAAAATATGCTAATTTTTATTTCAAAGGTGCCTTCATGCTACTGGTATGCAAATCTCTTTTAGAAATTGAGAACTGTATTTTTAAACAGACAAAAGAAATGAAAAGTATTCATTCACTGATGCAATCCAGAATAACATATTCAAATCGGTAACACTTTCATAACAAAATGATGCTAACACCATAATTTAGCATATGGTGAGCTCTGTGAAGGTCAGATCATCTAAAATTTCCATGATAAAACAAGTTATCTTAAGTTATACTGAAGAGTACACATTTTTTGGTATACCATATTACATCACTTCAATAGGCACAGTATTATAAAGATTTGTTTTTATTAAACTTATTTAAGAATATCATGACATAAAGAGAACAAATTACCTTTTACAATATGGGTAGGTTGGGTTTCTGAGTTTCTTAAATAATTTTCTCTTAATTGCTTACAGATTTTTAACAAAAGCTAATAGCTCATTGTAATTGTGGGGTTTCTTTGTCACTGAGCTATTGACTTACAGAATACCTCTATTCATTATGCATTATGTGTGAAATGAGAGACTGTAACATAAAGCCTGGGTTTTGACATATACATATTAAATTCATTATTGTTTAAATGGGAATCTCCTGTAGGTCTTTAAATGAAAAATACGCTCATTTAATATGTTTGTAAATTACATTTTGCTATTTCAGGATTAGTCATAATGCAGAGTTTAAAATTTTTCCTTTTTGGACTGAATTTATGACCAACTTCCTCTAAAAGGGACAGCCTGGATGCAGACTCACCTCTGAATATTCTGTGAAGTCAGCGCACGAACCCTCCTGCATTTACAAACCAATGCTGACCTGCAGACAAGCCTACCGTGTTTTGCACTCTCACAACATTACTTTTATTTTCTTGAAAACAAAAATATTGATTAACCCCCATCAGTTTAGCTCCTTGAAATACAGGGATTTAGGAAATCAAAATCAATTTATGGGCTAATATTTGTATTTTACATGTGGTGTATTTAATGCCCAGTTACAAAAGTCTCACTGATGTGACAGCAGTTCTACAAACAGAATACTTGACAGAGATCTTTAGGATACTCTGGTGAAGTCCCAAAAGCTCATGTCATTAGCTCAGTTTTGCAGAAGGAGCATTTTTTTTAGAAAGGAGAGGGAGAGGCTTTCATATCACAGAATCCCTTAATGTGCAGCAATCTGGAATGACATAAATACTGGTATGGGTAAATGTTATGTTAATTTAAGCACGTTAAAAAATGTCCATTAATAACTCTCACTTTCAGTGGTACAACTGTGCACGGAACATCAACAGTTGAAAGAGAAACATTCAACTGACAGCTGATTAGTTCTAGATTCTGTTTTTACAAACACAGCATTTATTGAAGTGTTAGCACATGCCAACGCTCTGATGGCTAAATGCCACAGCAATGCAAGAAAAGGAAGGAGATGATTAGGGAGTGCAGAGGAGAACTATCATTAACAGGTATTGGGCTTCTGTTTTCAGTGTTGTCAGTGCTCTGTCAAAATTTCTGTTTCCAGTACATACGTTCTTGAAAAGGTCAGTGCCTGAGTTACCATTGTTTAACCCCTCAGACTGCCGTAGCTTTGGATTCAAAATATCTGGGGTTTGTACTTCCTCAGGAGCAAACTCAAGATCTGATGGACAGCCATGGTAGTTTCATGTGTCATTCAGAGACCAGGATGTGACGCCCTCAATTAGGGACAATTCATATAAACAAAGACACAATGATGACTATGAAAATGTTGGATTTTGGTGACACTTAAAGCATTTGATAGCTGGATTACGACATCCTTCCACTGTATTTAGCATGGAAAATAAGCGTATAACCCTTAGAGGTGTACTAATAAGAAGCAAGCATACGGTGAAGGCCATGTGAAAGTGATAAAAAGAGTCTCTAGAAAATATATTTTCAGATTATTTGGAACTAGTAGCTATACTTCAAGGCAAGGACACTCTCACACACATAAATCCAAGTATTTCTAATGCAAAGCAAAGCAAAGGAAATACTATTTTCCCCCACAGTTCATTCATCTTTTGTCCCTGCCTTATATTTTTAATTGTTCTCATTTTGAAAAGGCTTTACTCTGGCTTCACTTTTGAAGTTTTAATTACCTTATTACATAGAAAGAGATGTGACAGAATTAGCCTTTCTGTTAAGCAAGGCAGATGGTGCTCATAACCCTTTCCTTCTATGTGCTTTTATAACAAGTCTAAGTGTGTGTGTGTGGGGGGGGTAGGAAAAAAAAGTTTTTATTTCAACATAATAAAGAGAAACCCCACAAATTATTATTTAAAATGTTATGTGTATTTATGCACATACTATAGCTGCACTAATGGTTCCTCTTACAGTTTTTTAGGTTCTCATATCATGTCTGGCAAGATACCTCACCTTTTCTGTTGCTTCAGCTATATCCCATACATTCTCCCACCACTTTCCCATCTTCACTTATGTGTGTAATAGCCCAAAATTAAATTATTTTGCAAAATTATATTTAAATAAAATTACTAATTTTAAATTTATCAGCTCTGTCAGATTTCATCATTAAATGATATTCTAGAACTAGTAAATGGTCTGGTCCAGAGTGATGTAATAATCTTAACATTATGCACTGTGATCTATTCAAGTTATTTATTTTATTCCTGTCTTTTACTAACAATATATAAAAAAATAAAACATTCAAAGGGTGGACTCATTTTTCAAGCATAATGTAGAGTATCTCTTTTGTTGACAGCCTGAGTGGAACAGAGGTTCTACTTATGATGTGAAAACAAGGTTAAACATGGAAACAAGGTATCAGATGGATTGTCTCTGAAACAAATTCAATAGTTAATTATTGTGAACAAAGACTATGAGATTTACAGAATTTAGTTCTTGACAAAAAAAAAGGAGGAAGTAAGTAGCAGACATGATACTTTATGCACTTGCACTTAATTTGTTATTCAAATTGAATTCGTATCACATTATTTTTACTTGAAGAAGAGGGACTTACTTATGGAAAGGTATTTTGCTTTTTGTGGCTTGGCTTACTTGTTTTTTAACCTATCACTCCAATATGGCTGCATCTTTCTTGCTGTTACTGTTAAGACTAAAAGTACAAAACAGAGAAAAGTAGCATGACTCCATGTATGGACACAAATATGGATTTATAACAGTGCTTAAAGTGCTTTCTTGTTTGAGGAGATACTTACATAAATGCCTTTTCATGCTTATCTCCTTGTCACCATGTACTATATGCTTGTTGCTTGCTCTTATGTCATTTATAATGATAGGGTATTAAGTTCATACTCAGAGTTTAGTATATTGTCATAAAAAATATCTGAAACCAGGAAAATGACAATTCTATTTGTGTATTATTACAGCAATTTGAAAATTTTATTAAATACCGAAGTGCTTCATTTTGTCATTTATTCCTTTGTTTCCAGTGTTGCTTAAAGCACTATGTAAGTAGAAATAGATCATACTAAAAGCATTTCCGTCCTATTCTGGGGTTTCAACTAGGGTTATATACTGATGTCTTGCAGAACAGAGATGGATCTATGATCCCACATGACCATTTATCTGTTGATGCTGCAAGATGTCTTGCCTCCAGGACTGGTTTCCATGTACATGGTTCACCAAAGGTCTACATCTTATGAATATACATTGTTATATCTTGTTGTTAAGTGGCAGTGCTGTCATGTGAGAAGTCAAGTAGTATACTTTAATTTGCCAGTACCAGAAGTTGTGGGAGCAGCAGAAGCTGTGGCTTGACTGCCTACATACAAAGGGTCCAAACAAGCCACTTTGGCTGCAAAGAATGAGTGGATACAGTGAAGAACTGCAAACAGGTTGGAAAATTCCAGCTCCTGGAAGTGAAAACAAAAAGATTAAACATGAAAAAAAAAAAAGAAAGAACACCTCACAAACATATACCAAGGAACGAACCAGTATTCAAATAGCAATGATTTTAATAGTTTAATGTAATTGCCTTAACATGCCTGGCAATTCTCCATTACAGGGACTTGGACACTGAGCAATCCTCATTCAGTAAGTAATTGTTTGGAGGTTAACATGGTCAAATTTCTAAGTTAAGGAGTTCTTCCATAGAGATATGAGATCCTACCAGCTAAAGGGGAAGGAAAGTGATGCTACGTATTGGTTTTCCCTCGGGTTAATGCAAATCTGGCACTTTTGCAGGTTAATTTAGATAAAAATTGGACTGTATCATAAATCTAGACATCTCTGAATTGCTACTGTATATACAACGCACCCACAAAGATCAATAATGTCAAGTTCCACATCACGTCATCACGTCACTTCACACTGGTAGGTATTATCTTACCTGTGATCCCTCCCCCTCAAAAAAAGACAAGTTTTCAAAAAGTGCTGTGATCACACAGTGTTATTCCTCTATAGTGATCTGTTTTCACTGAGAAGTAACCCTCTCAACAGTAACATGTAACTGGACTGAAAAAAGGAACAGACTCCATGTTTTAAATTTATTAGCAATACTAGACAATTGCTTCTTTTTCTACTTTTACACCTCTAAAGCACCAAAGCATGTGATTAGGCTAGGTGGGACCCTTTTAGACACCACATTTAGAGGACATAAATAAACCCCATATATATATTTTTCTTTTTAACATATATGAATTTGTTCCTTTGTGTTTGACTTTACATGATCAGTCTTTTTTAGGTTATCTGTTTTCACCATGATTTTTTTTGGAGTTGGCATTTAACCAATAAATATCTGGTTTATTTGAAAGCAAATACTGAGGTAATTGAATACATTTAAGTATGAGGTTGGTAGTGCAGAGTTGCCACCTTTCTGCTTTCATTCACTGCCTATACTGATTCCTTCATTGTAATACAAAGACAGTAATAGATATCTGTGGTATATTCTGTTTGTCTTTCTGTCCAGCACTGCTATTTCCAGGCTGTGAAGAGCTGAGGGTTTTACTTTTTTTATTTAAAGAATATTGATAATGTTGTAAATTCAACAAAAAATAGCTATATGTCTCAAAATGACATTAACCTGCAATTTTCTGCCTCGAGATTTCCAGGGAAATATTGCTTCATGTAATTCACAGAGATGTCCACAAATCACTCTTATGCAAGGGAGAACAACTGCCTGAAAGCAGACAGCTGCAGGTACAGAGTGTCCAGCGATGTACTGAATGGGTAGAGTTTTGCTCAGCTCTTTTGCAACACAAGCAGATGTCCTTCAGACGTGCTCAAAAATGAAGTTTCCATGAGCTTCTTTAAAAACGTCTTCTTTAAACATCCCGTGAGATTCTTTAAAATGCCTTAACTACCAGTTCTCAATAAAGAAGATAAAGTTTGTGCCAAGTTTCACAAACCTGCCATCTGTGTTTAAAAAAAAAATCTGTCTAGAGACATTCTGATTTTCAAACTCTGAGAAGGGCAATTTTATCACTATGCCAAAGTTTTTTTTTAGTTCCTTAAATTTCAGAATAAGAAAATTTATCATAAATAGGAATATAATGGAAATTCAAAATGAAGAAACAAAGAATTATAGAAGCTATTTCAGAATAAGAACTATCAGTCATTAAAATTAAATTACTTTTAACAACTTTTTATTAATATAATATTACCCTTCTTTGTAAAAATAAAAATGAAGCTGAAGATGAGAGAATAAATATTTAGTGGAAAAGTGAAATATTCATAGTATCAATTCCATCTGTTACATGTAGAAAGACTACATTTCCCCCTAGGTCTCAACAGGATAAGCCTATTAAATATTACAGTTTGAGAATTGTTTGAGTCAATTAGGTAACCTTATTAGCTGAAAGTTCTTACTGTAATAATTATACCTATTGGACACTGAATTTTCACAGTGCATTAGACCGGTAATTGCCAACAGTTATCACAGGTGTTTCTGCAGCAGCAGCACATTGGGAAGACGCATTGCTCAATGGACCTTCAAGAAAAACAAGTGAAGCAACAGAACAGCCTCTGAAGGTCCCGCTGGATTACTGTTAGTAACACAGTGAAGAAATTAGTTTGACTGCAAAGATGAACTCTGAGAAATCATCAAATAATGGATTACTATTTGCCCTGAAACATTATTCCCATTTCAATGTAGGCATGCATATTTAACTGGAAATTCAAACAATGTGAAGCACAGTAGGCTGACTGGCACATGGTGAGCTCATACAGGACTGATTAATGGCTGCAGCTCAATTCACAGGAGCCTGATCGATGGGAAAAGATCTATCAGGAACAAGACTTTTCTGGCAGATTAGCCTAATCACAAGAAAGCTTAATGTACAGATAAGACTTCATGTAGAGCTGCTGACAGATGAAACATTCCCTCACTTCTCCTGGAACTTGCACTTTTAGCTGCCCATGGATCTACTCTACAGATGGAGGGGAACCCACAAGCTTTTGTGCATGCTTAACCACCCCTGGTTGCTTCTGTATATACTTTGTCATCTGTTTATCCTCTTGTCTGAATACACTTTCTTCTAGGCAGGATTCTGTCTATTGCACACCAGCTTCAGATGAGGTTTCCAATTGACACCAAGATGTGTGATGCGGTCAACACACTGGGGGGGAAGAGATGCCATCAAGAGGGACCTTGACAGGCTTGGGCCAGTGCAAACCTCATGAAGTTCAACAAGGCCAAGCACCAGGTCAAGCACAGGCTGGGTGGAGAATGTATTGAGAGCAGCCCTGAGGAGAAGGACTTGGGGGTATTGGCAGATGAAAATCTTGACTTGAGTCAGCAGTGTGCATTTGCAGCCCAGAAAGCCAACTGTATGCTGGGCTGCATCAAAAGGAGCAAGGCCAGCAGGTTGAAGGAGGTGATTCTCCCGCTCTACTCCGCTTTCTTGAGACTTCACCTGGAGTACTGTGAGCAACACAAGAAGGACGTGAACACGGAAAAACTAAAAATTGAATCACACAAACCTACACAGGTCAGAAATCTGAGCTCAGAATGCAGTCACTGCAACTGAGAAATCCCTCTGTAAAAATCCTAAGGAGGTGCACTTAAAACCCATTTAAAGATGATAATGTAAACTTGAAGTATGTTTAAAATAAGCTACTGAATACCATTTGATTAAGTAGTTCTACAGATTGGATCACTTTCAGAAAAGCAGATGAACTGTGCACATCTTGTTACGGTTTCTAATCTGTCAGTCTCCTTAATTCTTAATGTGGCTGCATTGGCTGCAAGACTTTACTTATAAATGCTTATCATAATACCTTTTTATGTCCATACCCAACATAAATTGTCCACAAAAGGGTGATATTTCTCATTAAGACATTGATGTCTATATTCTAGCTAATGCTAGAAAATGCAGGAACTGATGTGCTGTAATTGTGCAGGACTTGGAGAAAAATGTTTTCACCAGAAGACACTTGATACATGAAAGTAATCATCTAGGGTAATGACTTCTAACAGATGCAACAAAACTTTCAATTAAATTAAAATTTTATTTTAGAGAATATACTTGAAATAAGCAGAAATGTCAGTCTGGAAAATGGTGCAAGCATCAATTAAGACACCTGGTAACAGCTGAAAGTGGGCATTTCCTTCACAACAGCAGTGATTTAGGCTATTTTTCTTATTTTAGATTAGACTTCTATACAAGATAATTTCAAGTATGAATTAACTGACATTAATTACAATTAAGTTAGCATTAATTAATAAGTATTAATGATAAATCCTTGAAGTTACACTTCTTCCTTTGCTAATACTTTTTTTCTGCCCTCTTCAATTCTCCATATTCATATAGGCAAAGAAAATTGACTGGATCTTCATCTTGATGTGCTGATTTTTTAATTAATTTCAGTTTTGTAACATTCAGCTTAGGAGTTGAGCTAATTTGTGAACAAAAGCTAACCTGATGCAGGACAACTGTGTGACCTTGCCTGAGTTTTCCTGTCAAAACTGTTGAGCTGTGTAAAAGTCCTGCAAGTTCAGGTGAAAGGCGAAAACAGAGACCAAAGTGTAGCTTTTGAGTTATACGTATGTTTTACAGGGGACAGCAACTCCTAGTTCACAGAAATACTCACCGGTGTGTTTACTTACTTAGAAAATTCAAATGGAAATTGTATGTAATAAGAAACACAGCACTGATAATTTTTATATACATGACATATTCCTATGTTTGGAAGCATATATATATATATATATATATATATATATAAAGAAACAGGATCTCTCATAGATTTAAAATACTGTTCATATTTGTCAGAAAAATATAAACCACCTTCCATTGCAGTGATCCGATACTTAGCCAGGTGAAACAGAACAGCAAAGGACTCTTGAGTTTCTTACAGTTTTGAGATTATGTTATTAGCATCTGGAAGCTGCTGTGATACTGGAAAGATATTATTGCATCATTAAACTGTAGCTAAACAAATAGAGAAATAGGTAACTAGGCAGGAAGGTGCCTAAGTGAATCCCTTTGTGTGTTACAGATAAGGAGAAAGCTTTGCCCTTTGCCCTTCTGTGCTTGTTTTTTTTCAACCCAACCCCAACAGCTCAGTAAGAACAAAGGAGACATGTAGGTTCCACATTCTGCCAAACCAACAGCTCTATTTTGTAGCTCTTAATCAGAAAAATTCTGTCTGACTGTGCAAACTTGTGCAATATTTCCTGCTGAGTGACAGCTGGGAAATAACCTACAGATTGGATTGTCTAAGGGGTATCGGTGATTAATGTTGCCCCTAAGTGATTTTCTTCTCAGAAACCACATAGACTTTGCCTTAGAGACCTTAAAGTTAGGTCTTTGCACCCAGACACCGTGCCATGGACCTACTGATGTGACCTATAGTAATTACTGTTCAGATTTTTTCAGACTGGAATTGTTTAAATCTACAAGGAGACACTTCTTTTACACTGCATTATATATCTTTATAGTAACGTGCTATTATTTACAGAGAAGCCAGATAAAAGCATCAATACAAAGTCTCTAGTAAAAAGCAGTATTTTTAACAGTAACTGACAGAATAATGCAAATGTTTAAATATCTTAAATTATTTCCAAGGGGAAAAGAAGTGTGTGTGGTTAAACTGTAACTAAATCCATAGCACATGCTGTGTGTCTCAGAGCATGCCATTTTGAATCTTGTTAAGTCAGGCATGAAACATGCTGTAAAAATGTTGACAGCATTACATAAATATTAGCTAAACTCTCGTGGCAAGTGTGTTTCTCGAAAACAAAATAGAAGCTGACTGATTAACGGACATGGTTCTGCATTTGTTCTTATATTCTTCTAAAATTAACAGTGATATCTTTGTATATTCCACCAGAACATGGAGTAGTTGCTAAAATATAAAATGCTGTTCCATAATTTTTTGTTTGTTTTTTTGTTTGCTTGTTTTTTCAAGCAATGCCCATATACAAATCTGAATGGTTTTCCAGAATAATAACTTTTGGATGAAAATTCAATATCTAAGCACTCTGATACTCTTAATTCTCTAGATAATAAATAAGTGTTTCAAAGCTAAAAGATATTATCACATGGATACAACATGCCATATCAACATTACTGGGATGGCATGAGATGCACAGCATTGTAAATGAAAGAAGACAGGAAGCATTTGGATTTCGATAACTCATATTTGTACAGGAAAGAATTATGTAGAATCAGAATTATTTAGTTTGGAAAAGACCTTTAAGATCATCAAGTCCAATTGTTAACCTAGCACTGCCAAGTCTAAGTGCCACATCTATATGTCCCCATCACAGCCAAGGATGGGGACACCACCACTTCACTAGACAGCCTGTCCAATGCTTGACAACTCTTTTGGTGAAGATGTTTTTCCTAATATCCAGTCTAAACCTCCCCTGATGTAAGTTGAAGTAATTTCCTCTTGTTACTTGGGAAAAGAGAGGGACACCTACCTCACTACAACCTCCTTTCAGGCAGTTGGTAGAGAGCAATAAGGTCTCCCCTGAGCCTCCTTTTCTCCAGACTAAATAACCCCAGTTCCCTTGGCTGCTTCTCATGAGACTTGTGCTCCAGGCCCTTCACCAGCTTTGCTGCTCTTCTTTGGACACTGGACATGCTCCAGCACCTCAGAGTCTGTCTTGTAGTGAGGGGCCCAGAACTGAAAACAGGATTCAAGCTGCAGCCTCATCAGTGCCAAATGCAGGCAAATGATCACAAGTCCTGCTGGCTATAGTATTTCCGATACAAGTCAGGGTGTTACTGGTCTTGGCCACCTGGGAACACTGCTCATATTCAGCCAACTGCAGACCATGACCAAAGCAAAATTGTTTAAAAATACCCCAAAACAACAAAACAGGCCAGACCACCTCACATTTGCAAGGGGTAACTGAATTATAACACATTATATACATTAACACATTCTGTCAGTACTATAGCTGAAATTTGGAGCTGGAGGAAAACACATCTTGGAGGCAAGACAAGAAGGAGTCTCAGATCAGGTATGCATGCACTGTAACAGGTTCTGCATAGAGTGGGTTAGTGTTAACTGTGAAGAGTTAACCCTTCTGTTCCAGTTACTTTGTTAAACTGTATCAGCGTTCCCTGCTTCCACATTACTGTTTGGGAATGCAGAATTGAAGAGCCCTTAACATGCTGGGGCAATGACTTCAGCGTTTTGGCTTCATTCTCAGCTGTGAGCTCTCATCTCACTATATGCTGATATTCCCTGTGTAACAGAACTGGCAAAATTTATTTTTATGTAAAGAAAATGCGACACTGTATTTCCCCTTACAACAGTCGGTCCCCAGGCCATTTGAAGCACAGAGATGCATTTAACAGGTGATGGTAACTGTGTCCATGAATATTCATCACAACCTTTAACAGATGTTTTAGAGAATTCCCATCATCTGATTCCAAATGTAGCCTGCATACAGTATGCATGAAATCTGGCATTACAAGCATTTCTACAAATCTGATTAACATTTCCTAATGACTCAAGAGTTCTGCAAATAGTTATAGCTCTAACTCTGTAATGCTACTAGAGTCCAAAAAATAGAGGCTAGATTGTTCCACCTCTTCTGATGCTGAATAGTGCTTTAAATCCAAGAAAGGCCTAAAGGATACTGAAGGGGACAATCCACAGAATTTTAAATTAACCAAAGTTGAAAAAATATGACCCAAGAATGACATTCATTTTATAGCCAAATTTATTTATATTTCTTAGACTAAGCAACATAGTTCATATATGAACAAATTGGAATGGAAAAAGTGCTCACTGTAAATGCTGTGGCACCTTCCAAAGACAACATTACCTGACTTTTTTGATCATGATATAACTGGTATTGTTCGATCACCAAGAAAATGAATGAAAAGTAAAAAGTTTTATTTCTAAATTGATCAATGTGAAAGATTGTGTTTATAATAAAGAGCTTAATGCAGCTATTTGCATTCAAACTCACGACTGCCTCTGACACAATGCCTTTTTTCTTTACATACTTTATCATGCTGTACATATTTAGCCCTTTTTGCCAGCAATTTATTTACTAATTTCCCTTTGGCTCGTGAAACCATATAGTTACCACATCCATTCTGCACCTTTCTCTCTGACATGACCAGGAAAAATAGTACAGCACATGCTTCAAAAGCAAGGCTTAAAGATGGCCAAGAAACTACTCTTTAGGTTAACATAAAGATTGGGATCCTAGTCTAAAAGACCTTTGATCCAAACTCTAAGGCACTTCTAGTTTTCAAAGAACTTGGGAGATCATTTTTCCTCACACAAACTGGGAAAGTAAATGCCCTATTCTCAAAAGACAGAAATCAAACTAAATAGAATAAATAAATAGAATTAAACTTGGCTAGGGATGTTAAGGATAACAGGAAGGGATTCTACAGGTACGTAGCAAATAAAAAACAGGAAGCTTCCCTCAGGAAGCTCTCGTGAGAACTGGCTACACAGGATTTGGAGAAGGCTGAGGTTCTGAATGACTTCTTTGCCTCGGTCTTCACTGCCAAAGGCTCTGACCAAACCAACCAAGTCTTGGAAGGCAGATGCAGGGATTGTGAGAATGAAGACCTTGGGCCCACTGTAGGAGAGGATCTGGTTCAAGACCACCTCTAAAAATCTGAATGTGCACATGTCCGTGGGTCCTGATGAAATCCATCTGTGGGTCCTGAAGAAACTGGCAAATGAAGTTGCTAAGCCACTGGCCAACATATTTGAAAAATCACAGCAGTCAGGTGAAGTTCCCAGTGACTGGAAAAAGGGAAATATAACCCCCATTTTCAAGAAGGGGAAAATGGATGACCCAGGGACTTACAGACCAGTCAGTCTCACCTCTGTGCCTGGCAAAATCTTGGAGCAGATTCTCCTGGATGGCATGCTAAGGAACATGAAAATCAAGGTGCTTGGTGACAGCCAGCATGACTTCACTAAGGGGAAATCCTGCCTGACCAGTTTGGTGGCCTTCTATGGTGGGGCTACAGAACTGATGGACAGGGGCAAAGCAGTTGATGTCATCTACGTGGACTTGTGCAAAGTGTTTGACACTGTCCCACATGATGTCCTTGTCTCTAAATTGGAGCGACATCAATTTGATGGATGGACCACTCGGTGGATAAAGAGCTGGCTGGATGGCCACATGCAAAGAGTTGTGGTCAATGGCTCAGTGTCCAGCTGGAGACCAGTAACAAGCTGTGTCCCTCAGGGATCGGTGCTGGGATCAGTCTTGTCTAACATCTTCGTTGTTGACATGGACAGAGGGGTTGGAACTAGATGATCTTAAGGTCCTTTTCAACCCTAACTATTCTATGATTCTATTATTCTATGAACTAAGCCTCTCAGGGTTACTGTTTTCATGTATTAGCTCTTGCAACAAAAGCACAACGGAAAATACAACTTTACTGACTTTCAATTAGACACGGACATAAAGCTTCCGTCTTGTAAGGGAGTATGTATTTAATCCACACTTTTTTTTTTTTCTCCTGTGAAATAAAAACAGATTTTAGATCTTTACTGGATTTTGTCCTAAGTTGACTTGTGGATATATTTTGCACCATTTCTTCATGATAAAAATATAGGGTGAAAAACAGTGTCAAACTCTCAGCCAGCTTTGTCAAAATGATAAACAGGAGAGTCGGTAATTGTGCCTAAATGCATACATAGCAAGTTCTGGGGTTTATCATTTTTAATGTAATTACACCTTTCAAAAGACTTTCAAATAGCAAAAATCCAAGCAATTGATTCAGCTTTCTTTTCTTGGAATTTCTTTGTTCTTTTCATTCACCAGGTTTGCTTTGATTTATTAATTAGTAAACTAAATAATTAAGTTTTATTTATTACTGCATTCCCCTAGATGCTTTGATAACTGCTTTTAATGTACAAAAATCACAATACATTATTTTTACCTTTGCTTCAATTTGTTTAGTATCTTGGTTTTGGAATAAAAATTTGATTTTGCTCTTCCCATCATCTGAAGAACCCTTGAGCTGGGAAAACTTGTACCTCCAAAGTACAGCCTAGGGGAAAAAAAAAAAGAAACATAAAAAAACCATACAAGCAACTTAGTGTAGCTGTCATTGAAAATTGTATTAGAAATAGCCAATCTCCTTCCAAGGGAACTTTAACTCTTCCATGGTACATAATTAAATCAGTTCAGAGTTATGTGGTCTGATGTTCATATGTACTATATGTACACATATGGATGTACAGTCAGTGTGTGATTCAGATCTGTCAAGACTACATTTTTGAAATTTACTCTGAAATTGCTTTATCTATATTTAACCCTGATTAAACAAAAAAGAGAGGATTAGTAACTTCATTGTCATGCCATACTCCAAAGATTTTTTTCCACTGATGATCTGTGGATTCCCCATTCCATCTGAAGTGATAAACTTCCATAGAAGTCCTCTCTTTTTCTTTCCATATTAAAAAATCTAGTTGTTTTAACATATAGGGAATTTCACATAAAAAACAAATATCCATTTTTAAATTATAAAATGTCAAAAGGAAACTCTGTAATGAGAACTTGTTTTGAGTTTACTTGTGACAGCTCTAATCAGGAATTCAGGAATGACCAATTCATTAATTCTAAGCGTATCAGTGGCATTTCATGTAGCTATATTATGAATTACATTGTGTCTTGCTGAAAAGAAAAACAGATTGCACTACAGAATAAACATACAATTAATAAAATTTACAGCTGGGTAGAAATGCATCTTTCTTTTTTATATCTAATATGGGTTTATGTAAGAAAAAAAAACATTTCAAACTACTTTGCTTAGAAGTGGAAAAGAGCTATTTTTTACTGTCTTTTCAGGCTCATTTAAAGATATCCCCACCCTCCAGATATTTTGAAGCCCTAACATTTTTCATTGTGATTTCAGCAGTATTTCACATAAAGTCATCTGCACTCACGTGCTGATACTTTGAGGAAAAATTAATTTCACATGGATTGGACAACACAGAAACTTAAGGCAGGAGGTGCTGTTCCATTTTCTTTTGCCTGAGTGTTTGTAAACTAATTCCTCTCCATGGTATAGGATGACACTTCCCATCTGTGCCCTTTGTCCATATTAATAAATGATTTACTATGTACTTAAACAATAAGAGGGGTAAAATTTTTCAAGTATCCTAAATCTATGCAGGTCCCTTTACTTCAGAATGTGTTAATCTTTTTAAATTAATGACTGGCAAAAACCCCTAACCTGCACAAAGCTAAATAAAGTTACCTGTGTTTGTCTTAGTAACTTGAAAAAAAAAACCCCAAAGGACAGTAACTTAACTGTGCACAGTACACAAAGCAAGTCTTAGAATTAGTTTTTCCAAAATTCTCTCCATATATTTGCCTCTTGCAGATTAAAAAGCCATAATCTCAGCCCCACTTTCATTTTCTTTGTGTATATGACAGGTGAGCTCCCATCTACCATAAACAGTTAAGGACACTCTGTTCCAGATAAACCAGAGGAATTTGCCAATTTATGTGAAACTGTATCATATTTGTTTCAAAAGCTGTCCTCCTCAGCCCACCAAGCTGTGCTACAGAACATAGAATAGCTTCCCTCATCCCCTAGTGTGTGCAATTCCTGTCATCTTTTTTGATCAGTGATGTTTACTTACGTCCTGTAGATAGTGAGGTAAAAAAAATAAAACCAACCAAACCAGTATACCATTCAGGTGGCCATCTTCCTACATACATCATAAACTCCTTTTTGCCCAGACCTATGTAGCTCAACAAATCTAGTTGAAAGATCAAGATCATTGCTTTTTGAATGAAAACCAAATCTATTTAAGCATGTAATTTCCTACATGATAAATGTAAAGGCCACTGATGGTATCTTTATCGCAGGAGAACAATCAAAGAAACAAGCTTTCATCTTTGTCTGATGATGGATAGGGAGGCCAGGAGAGAGCCACAGTAGTAACAAGAACCTTTAGGTGAGCAGGCAAAATAACAGGGTACCTGTCATTCCCAATCAGATTAAGTTCAAGTGAAGATCAGGGTTGTACAGAACTGCAGTACTTTGGCATTTACCATGAAGTTTTGTCACTTGCTTCATTCCCACTCAGAGGAAAGAGAATGACAGTCACACCAAATGACAGGCACGACTCAAGAAAACACTTCAGTTTATGCATAACATCAGTTTGGATAGCCCTACTTAGCAATGGCTCTTACTTGAGCACACTGCAAAATCAGGTCTGTAGTGTGCAGGGGACAAAATCATTTTTGAGACTAATCCCAACAAGACAGCACTTCTTCTACCAGGATATCAAAACAAGTTCCGAGAACTGACAGTTCAACAGCATACTTCACACAGACTATTAAACACTCTTTATCTATAGCATAAGGAATTAAAATGCCATTGACAATGCATGAAATGACTCTCAAATGAAAGAAAAATTAAATATTTCTCTTGAGTGATCTTCAACAAGTCGCACATTTTTTTTTCCCCTAGATATACGCATGGAGGAGGGCTCTTTTTGCAAAAATAAAAGTGGGGAAATTTTGTGAGTTATAAGTTCTTAAGTCAGGAATACAAAGTATTCCTGGTTACTTCTTTCTGGCTGCTTCTTTTGTTTTAGACAATTTCTTAATAACAATTCCTTCATCCTTGTTTGAACTGGGATGAATGCTGGTTCAATCTGATATATGGGATATGTGTCTACACCTTGATGTACCACACAACATGAAAAGTCTAGCAACTAGGTTAAACTAGATGTCCAACCGCAGTTAGCTAAAATTGGGTGAATTAGTTAGGTATATGCCCAGTAAGATACATTTAATTCCTTGTCTCCAACCAAAGGAGCTCAAGAGCTCCCCTATGTAGCCAGAACTGCAGATGTACAAGATTATAAAGATACTACCAGTCAGATCATTCTCTTAAAATACACTATCTTGAGGATCCTTGGGTTACTGCAATGAATACACTAAAGCCCCATAACCAAATCAGCAGTATTTTGGTACAGGCTCCAAAGGAGATAAATGCCTAAGCCATAGCCGGTTCAGGAAAGAACTCCTCCAGGAAACTAAATGTTAGAAAAAGAGTGAAATTTCACGTTAAAATGATTATATAGAGCAAGAGAAATGACTATATTTGTCAATAGTAGACTTCTGTATATTAAAAGAATGCTGTAACTTTGCTGTGGTAGCCTCAGCAGTAGAAACCAACATAACAACGAGAAGGATACAGGATGCCTGGCCTAAGACCTTGTAGTTTAGAACAGGGAAGCCTTGTCTAACTGTGCATCTTGATAATACAGACATTCATAATTTTTGTATTACTTACAAGAAAGCTTTGTCTAGAAATGGAAACCATGTATCTTAAGCAGCAGAAAGTTTCATCTCTGCAATATTGGTAGCCTTGTGAAATCATTGCAATATAAAAGGACAAGCCAAGCAAGAAAGTGAGAATGATGACATTCACATAATGGTTGGGGCCTGTCCAAAGAGCAGAAAGGTGAAAAGAATGAGGGGAGGAAGACTCCTTACTTCATCGGGACGACCACCAGAGGGGGCGGCGCAAGCGTAGAAGAGGCTGATGTCGTAATGGACTAATGAAGTAATCCTTAATGCATATGTATTAGTTACAAAATTTTAGTGTATAAATTGCAAACGCGATGTGACGGGGTCAAAGCCAGATTTGGGTGCATGACCCTGGTTTCCCAGCGCTGCAATAAAGCACCTCATATAACCATTCCGGTGGTTATGTGTCAGTAAGAACGCTAACACCACAAAAGAGCAGAGTGACAGTGAGCATCAATACATATGACCTTGGCACACCAACCATGTGATTAACACATGGATAGAAGGTGTTTTTTTTCAAGGCTCATTTATCAAGAAACAAAGTTGTGGGTACAGAGAGCCTCATGCATACCTTTTGCATTACATGCAATCTGACATGAGCCAACCACTTTATCCCATGACAACCAAAGTAAGCCTTCGAGCTCGCCCTGCTAGGCAGCATGGCTGCATGGTGGTGATCTCCCCTTGAGCTGGGATGCCTCTCAAGCTTTGAGATTCCTTATCTGAGACTGAGAAATTCTTCCTTTCCCAAGGGAAAGACCCCTTATTTGCAACAGAACCCCACCAAGTTGCAGATAGCATGCTAAATCAATACTAATGAAGACCATGTAGTTAGTTCCTGTAGACATAAACTATTGGCCAAATCTGAGACTAGGACTGGACCTAGCTGCACCCTAAGCACCATCGGGAGTTTAGAAATCAAGGGGTTCTACTCTGAATCTTGTGACTCAATGTGAGGGTCTCTGTGTAAATCTTCTCGCTCAATCCTAACTCAATTTTCTTTTGTATGTTTCATCCGCATAGTAAGTAATGGAATGAACCTTGCCATTTAACTTTGTCAAGTCACACGTTTCACAAATTCATATGAAAACCACTTTTGCTAATACCTCTGATGTTGATTCTTTGAGTGACCCTAAACCACTCATTTGCAACACTTTTTTTTTTGTTATTTCATGTGTTCTGTGTGGCTTTTTTTCTTTTCATTTTCACTACTGCAAAATGCATAAGCAATGAACAGAAACCAGACTTATTCTTTTTCAAAAACTATTTTATTCAAGGACTATCTCAAGTAGAAAAGAGAAGCAAGACCTACTCATCAAAGTACCCAGTTTCACAGAGATGTGTAGCTACAGCACTGACGTAAATGCATGACAGTATCGCAGTGCTTGCTGTGGTGACTATTCTGAATTCTAATTTTAAAGGCTAATTCTCCTGAATTGGGAATAGGCACCCTTGGGGATACTGATCTATACCACTGTCAAAGCCAAGTGAATGAGTTTCTTATGTTTTTGAACATCACAGTTCCTCAGAACCATTTGTTTAATGCTTGACTCAGAGAGTTAATATAGGCTGATAAAATTTTGTACAAATATATACATGTATAGATTGACTTCTAAACAACGTGCATTTGTAAAACATGCTGGCTCTCTCACAAATTGCCAAAACAACCTAAATGTGTGCACCATATAAGTTATTCCTAAATCAGTTCTTATGAAT